TGCCTCACCAGGGAAGAGCGCAATGATGGTGCCAACTTGGGCAAGTGAAGCAACGTCCTCCACAACTAGACTGAAGAACAAAAGGATAGCAACTTGTCTCTTCCCCTTCCCCCGATTCCCCAGCACTGTTCCACTCCCCCCAATTCCCCAATAAAATCTTTAAAAAAAATAAATGAATAAATAAGAACCAAAGAGCAAAATCCATAAAGGAAAAAATTAATAACTTCAACTACATCAAAATAATAATAGCATAACAATAATAGTAAATACTTCTGTTGACTAAAAACATGATGTGAACAAAGTTAAAAAACCAAATTACAGACTTAGAGAGAATATTTATTATATGTATATCAAAGAATTAACATCAAGGACAAATAGTAGACTCCTATAAGTTAGTAGGAAAAAACATTACATATCAAGTGAACTAAGGATATAAATAATCAATTAAGAAGAATTATATGAAAAGATGGCCAAGAATTGAATAAAAAGATGGCCAACCTCACTAGTTGTTATGGGTTGACTTGTGTCCCGCAGTACCTCAGAATGTGACTATATTTGGAGATAGGGCCTTTAAAGAGGTCATTAACATCAAAAGGGGTTGTTCGGGTGGGTCCTAATCCAATATGACTGGTGTCCTTGTAAGAGGAGGAAATTGGAACACAAAGAGAGACATCAGGAATGAACTACACAGAGGAAAGTCCATGTGAGGACATGGAGAAGACAGTCTTCTGTAAACCAAGGGAACCGGCCTCAGGAGAAACTCAACCTGCTGACACACCTTGATCTTGGACTTTTAGCCTCCAGAATTGTAAGAAAATAAATTTCTATTGTTTAAGCCACCCAGTTGGTGATATTTTTTTATGGCACCATGGAAAACAAATACATTAATAATCGGGGAAATTTAAATATTTTAAAAAACGGGTTACTATTTTCACTTCTCCAATTGGAAAAGTAATAAAATGTTTCACAAATAGCAAGCATCAGGGTATGAAGGAGCACTGACTATCATTCTCTGTTGGTGGGAGTATAAATTGGTACCAACACTGTGCAGGGCAATGTGACAGTATCAGAAATGAAAATGCACATATTCTATGATGTAGCAATTCAACTTCTTAGTATATCCTCTGGTAAAACACTTGCATGTGGGCACAAGAAGACACATACAGTGAGGGTCACTGTAGAATTTTGGTAAGAGTGGAAAATTAGAAACCGCTTACATATCTGTCAAAAAAGAAATGGCTATAAATAAAAGAATTGTACTCTGTGGAATATTATGTAGCAGCTAAAATTAATGAAGTGGACCTATATATAAATCTGAAAAGTCTCCATATGGAATACAGATATGGAAAGGTTATTGAGTGGAAAAGCAAGATGAAAATAACACGACAACAAATAGTTTATTAGTACATATATGTATGTATAAATGCAAAGGAGATCGATCGCCGGGCAATAAACACACCAAGCAGGTTATAGTAATTACTTTTGGGGGGAGAGGGTATTAACATTGGCAGGATGGTTAAAGGAGATTTTAGCTTTATCTATACTCCTTTTTCATTTTATAAGGAGCATGTAATCATTTATAATTTTAAAAAGCTACTACCTACTAATGATAGTTTAGTTCGTTTTATGGTTGTCCATTATGTTTATTCCATAATAATTGAGGCCCAAGCTTGAGACTAGGAGGTGGCAAACGTTTTCTGTAAAGGGCCAGATAGTTAGTATTTTAGGCTTTGGGGGCCATACTGTCTTGGTTGCAGCTACTCAGCTCCGCTGTTGTGGAGCAAAAGCAGCTATTAGATAATACATGATGAATGAGCATTATATATTCCAATAGAACTTTAAATAAAACTGTGTTCCGATGAAACTTTATGAAAACAGCTCATGGGCCAGAACTGGCCTGTGAGCCATAGTTTGTAACCCCTGGTTTAGACTGTTTATATATAAGTAAAGTTTTTAAAAGTTATTTATTATATTGTTAATATTATTTTATTTATTTTATTTTTATTTTATGTTGTTATATTTATTTATATTATTTAGTTATTACATAACTAAAATATTTTGAATAAGTATTTTTGGTATATGGAAAAATTATCTTTCCTATTAACCAAATAATTAAATAAGTAGTAGCCTCTGGGGACTTGCTTAGAATATTTTAGACTCTGGTCATATCATTAGAGACCAAAAACTCATCCCAGCAGAGATAATCCAGTCACTTTGGTGACTATTGACTTTCTCAGCAGCAGAGTTGCACAACCATGCAAGTGGGAGGGGAACAGTACCTGCCACAGCTGATTCACTGAGTCAAGGTTCAGTGACCTCAGAGGTGACTCCTGACCATCTGATGCAGAGTTACTTTACAGCAAAGCCTCATGCCATAGCCTCGGCCAAAGTGGCCTCTAATGTGGGAAGAGAGAGGACTTGCTGACTCTGAGCACAAGTAGGAGAGGCTCGGTTCTGGGGGATAAGCTATCTCCCCTCACAACTAGAGGTAGAAAACTCACTCGTCCAAAGCCAATTCAGCTTCAGGGGCAGGGCTTCTGAGAGTCCCTTCACTGAGGTGGTGAGACCCTGTGACTGTCATGCTGCTATATCTCAGCCCTGGTTCCAGGGGCTGCCAACGCAAACCCAGAAGGCTGAGAGGAGCCGGGGCTGAGTAGTTCTCAGCTTCCACAGTCAGGAGACTCAACTCTGTAACAGAGGGGCTGGTTGTATGCACGACTCGTGGTGGCTCCTACAGGAATGAGGCTTCTACTGTGACTATTTCTCTAGGAGGTGGGTGCAGGATCAGACAGCATCATTACTGGGGCTCAGTATGAAGGACTGTCTTCATGGTTTCTTCCATGCTGAAAGTGTGGAGAGCAAGAAGGCCAACATGATACACAAACCCCTGTGATGCTGAGCTCAAACATCAGGTACTGTGTTCCCATACTTGTTTTGTATGGAACTGGGGGCGTGGGGGACGGAGGGTAGTCTATCCCCAGCAAAAAAGAAAGAAAGAAAATTCATACCTGCTTGGTGATAACTTCTTTGCTGTGTCTTCTTCTCCTTTGGGGTCCACTTTGAACAACAGGAACAAAGGATTGATCAGAACATCAAGCCCCTCATTAGCTTAGTCACTGGCCTTTTGAAGGAGAACACTTTCCTTACAGGCAGAGCCTGAGGCTCTTGTTGAGTCAAGACAATGCTTCCTCTTCCTCGTCCTAGTCATAGGCTATTATTCCCCAGGATATGAGCCAATCTTGTCTCTCACCTACATTTCAGTCCAGGTCAGGTGTCTTCTCTAAGTGGCCCCCATCTGGCACTCCTAAGTCCCAAGTCCAGCACTCCAACTAGCAAATGAACAGATTACCGTATTTACTCTCATTACATGCCCCCACTTTTTTCTCTCAGACCTCTGCACTGGAAAACACAGAAGGGGAGGAATGTTGCAAGTATTGGCTTTGTTTAATTAGTTCTGAGCAAATTTTGTGCTTCTGAGGGTCTCTGCACTTTAGCCACTGGGGCAAATTTAATTTCAATTTAGATCTTCCAGCATTTTTTCCTTTGTCTAAGCCACCTGCCTGGATAGTGTTACTTGATGTGAAAGCCAGCCAAGTATTGGATTCTGATGGCGCCTGTGAGGGCCCACATGTTTATATAACAGAAAGACAGGCACAGAGGAGTTGGGAGAGTGTGAAATGAGGGGACTAAGCACAGGTCACAAGAGTGTGAGCTGTGGCTCCACCTCAGGACAGCTGGCTGACCAGGAGCATGGAGAATGGACCTCAGGGAATGACTCTAAGGGTTCTTTCCTCCTCCAGGCTCTGCCAGGAGCCAGCAGCCCCTCACTCCTCAGCCTAATCCTTCATGTTCCCTGGCAGTAGCTGCTGATGGCTGTTTTAACTAGCTCCGAAGGGAAAAGAATAGATAAAAGGCAAAAGCAGTAGGTTTCACAGGATGTGTTTCTTCTACTTGCTTTGTTTCAAAGGATGCTTTATGACAGATAGGGGAAGTTGACTAGCCATACTTCAGACAACAGTAAAGTATCAGCCTCATCGGGAGAGGGAGACGGGCAGGGAAGAAAACTAGGGGTTCCCAAAAACCACAGCAATCTTCATGTGGAAATTTGGACTTCCTTACACTTATTTCCTGATTTAAACTGTTTTATTTTGAATCACCTATTTGAATCCAGCCCTCCTGATGAAAAAAGCAAGTCTGATTTTTTTCTTTTTAATTAAATTGGCTTCTTCTCNCTGGGACTTTGAGGTGTGTCCAAGGTCAGGAAGGCAATAAGTGATAGACCTTCTTTTCTTTTTATTTTGATTCTTCCTATAGTGCAAGTAGATACACTATGTAAATTAATTCTTGTCACAAAACTCACGAGAATAAAATGAGATCATATGTTTAAATTTTTTTGTAATGGATCTAATATTGTGAACAAAAATCTACCCACCCCTCCTTGGTCCTGGCATGGGACAAGCGGGAACTCAGGTAGCAAAAATCACATTGTATGAATTCAAATATGAGAGGTCAGCTGCTATCTTCAAGTGGCCATAAATGAAAGTTGGCCTTTGTGTTTCCCAGGATGCAGTCATCAGATCTAAGAGGTCAGAAGGTTCATTCCTAGACATGGATCATGAGTGAGAGCTGGTGTCAGCTCAAGTCAAAAGTACACTCTGTACTCTCTTCCAATATTTAACAGGGTGCAAAGACTTCTGATTTAACTTCCTGTCTCTTACATGCATGTGTAATGCTCTCATTGCCTGTGGTTTTATAGTTTGATTCTTTGTTTGGAATTCACAGAAATCCAGGAGAATTGTTTCATATATGTCTCTTTATCTTAATTGTCAGTTGGATATTCAGTTTGTGGTTTCACAGAGTTCAAGAGGTGTGGCAGATGGACGAGCAGGTATTGGATGGCAGGGAACACTCCCCAGTCACCTTCAAATCACACCACCTAGAACACCCCTGTATGCAAGAACAGACCCACACACATTTCTATGTCCTTCCCAGGTTGTAACCACACACATTCCGTGCCTGAAAGAATCCTGCAGAGAAGTCTCCAAGAAATGTGAGCTCACAGCATGTAATAAAAATGGATTAAAATCAGGAACATGGCAAGAATACCTAACACATCTAAGTGTGAATGGTACCCCTTAGAACTGTGCGGAGTACAACCCACACAACTATACATCAGCCCTGAGCCTGTCCTCTTTTATGGCTAGTACTCAGCATTGTGCTGGAAGGCCAAGGAAAGGAAATAAGACCAAATATATATATTAGGCTGCGTAAAAATTAGAAAAGAGTAACAAAACTCTTGTGATACATATATAACATCGTTGTCTACCAAAAATTCCAGAGGAATCAACTGACAAACTTTTACAGCTGTTAAGAGAATTCAGTAAGGTGACTAGACAAAATATCAAAACGTTAAATAGATTTTCTAAATATCAGTAAAAATCAATTAGAAACAATAAAGCTATAATGGAAATTGGTTCAGGAATAGAAAATAAATACAAAAGAACAGAGTATTCAGCAACAGACATGTAAGTGAGAATTTACTACATGATAGAGGTAACATTTCAAATGAAAAGGGAAAGAACAGATTTTTCAATAAATGCTATTGTAATAATTCATAGAAATAAGTTCCAGGTGGACTAAATACCTATTTTTTAAAATAATAAAAGTATTAGAAGAAAGTATGCCAAAATGTCATTATAAACCTGGAGGTTGAGAAGGCTTTTTAAAATAAGAACCAAAGAGGGGCCAGCTGAGTGGCGCATTGGTTAAAAGCTGGCTTGGGACGCCAGCTCTGAGCAGCAGGGCCCCAGTTCGGATCCCACATGGGG